GACCAAACATCTGCAATCTATTGAAGGCAGCCCCAGCGGCTAGTGTTATCGCACAAAGAGGACTCGATTATTTTACGGACTCAGCAGGACCCATTTTCAGGTATGGTTATACATGTCTCTCATGTTCAGCTACGGTCAAGTAAGAAAGACTGTCCTTTAGTATGATTGCAATAAACTACGTAGAAAGATCATGAAGCCACAGAAGTGCGTAGAAATTGAAACGACACGAGAGAAACAATAAGAAACAGAACATTCCGGATGAAACAACTAACGAATATGAGATTATTAGACTTAATCAATGGCAGTTATGGATAGGAATTTGATGATATTGGGATTAATTCCTGGACAAGACCGACCTTAACTATTGACAATTAGTTACACATAAACTTGCGACCATTCGGCTCTGAGCCGGACCTGATTGGTTCAATGCCTATCGAACAAGGAGTTCACATTACTGGCGACATAAGAGCTTTACTTAGCAGTCAATTACAAGCTACCTGACTGACACTACTTTATAACCCATGTAAAATCAAAACTTTAGTGTTTGTAGCTTTATTTAATTTTACATATCCCTGGGAAATCTGACAAGATGAATGATGCCTTAGTCATGTTATGTGCCTACCAGGATTATAAGAGAAGCACTTCCCTCCAAAACAATTGGAAACTGGGAAAATAGTATTGTACAAACCTTGCCATCATATTTCTTTCTTGACAGAACTTCCGGTGCAATGTATGCTGGCGTTCCAACTGTTGATTTGGGTTGTGAATGCAACAGACCAGACTGTGGTTTACATACACAAGCAATCACAGGCGAATATGAGGAGAAGAATCAAAGATTAGCAAGAAGTTGGCAAAAAGACAACCGGACCTTTGAGTAACCAAAGTCGCATATCTTGAGACGAGGCATTGGACTTCCGTCGAGTAGTGTGTTTTCCAGTTTAAGGTCCCGGTGACAAATTTCCTGCAATGAACAATAGAAACTACTTGAGAAAAATCCATTGTGACTTTGGAAGAGAGAAGCATCTATGCTTTGATTAGACAATTAAACCCAAAAATGAGGGAAAAAGAAGAGAGCGATGACGCAGAATCAAACCATGGTATGACAATAGCTGACTCCGGATATGAGTTGCTGAAAGAAAAATCTTGCCTGTCACATGAAAGGATCGATATGCAAACATAAGTGATGGAACCCTCTTTTGCACCAAATTGATTCGGATGAAGCCCGTTTTATGCTCAAAAGGGCCAGGCAAAACAAACCTCATCTTCGCTAAAACGACCTGCAGCACATATCCTCTCGAAAAGCTCTCCACCAGCCGCATATTCCATGACAATAGCCAAATGAGTAGGGGTCAACAGGACCTGTATTGAACAACCAAAGTACTTGCTCATTTTAGCCTCTTTTTACAAGCAGAAGTTCATTAGATTTGGCTCCTAAAGTTAGTTCAACCAAGCCTATTTCGCTGGGAACGTATGCATAAAGCACTTGGCTGCTCGGGAAGAGCTCAAATTATTGCCTCGCCTTTTCCAAGACCCAAATTATTGCATGAATATACTTAAACACAGCAATGTGACCAGGATGGAAACTTAAACCACAACCTCCTTAAATCTGACAATGTTTGGATGCCTCAAGGATCTGTGGTTGATGATTTCCCTCAGGACTTTCTCATCAATCTGATAACAGAAATTAGTCAGGGCATGTATCTGGTAAAATGATACTGAGGAACTCATAAGCTAGTACCTCGGATGAAATTGATGAGAAGGATATAGTAGTAGCTAAAACCGAGGTCTTAAGGATCAATCACTCCCTAATCAAATAAAAAATCCAACTTGCGATTCTCCTCGTTAAGTCTAAGATGCGATCATCACAATTGCCTTGAAAGCTAGAGAAATACTTAGTAATCTATTCACCGGTGCTAATAGAAAGATAAGAGTACTGCTGATTAAAGTTGCCGAGCCTACTCATAGAAGCAAAAAAACGAGGTTCCATTAAAAACGCCAAAGAAAGATGGGAAACATTTTGAATAGCTGCGCACATCTATCAGCAAGCAATTCTTGGTTCCCCACAACCTAAAGAGAAAGCATACCCTTAGCTGAGCGCACAATGAACCTCTAACGGTACCTTAGATTCAATGTCAATACAGCCATTATCAGTGGGTCATCAATAGACAGAGATCTCCTTGAACCGGTGACGCAGAATTAACACACGATAAAATAGAGTGAGAAACTGTTGTCTACAAGAAGGAAGGCAAAAAAATTAAACCTTGTTTCCCCTCTCTATATACTTGACAGCAAGAAGCTCCTTTGTCTTCCTATCTTTCACCAACCTCGCCACTCCGAAATTCCCAGAGCCGAGCTCCTTCAATGACTCATAACGCTCTTCCATTCTCCGCACTCTCGCTCGCCAATCAAACACACCACCTCAGCTGAAACTTCACCGATCATCAATCACAAACAACAATCACGTCTAGCATCCCAACAAGAAAAGCAAAACACTAAAACAACAGAACCCAAGAAAGATGCGATCATATGAGAAACAAACAGCAAAAGTTACGAAGATTTCTCAAAGAGACGAGCTCAACGAAGAAGAGAGATTCTTACAAGCCGACCCCAAGAAAAGGAGAAAGAACTGGTCTTCCGGAGGTCTTCAGGACTTGAACCGTGGAGAAACGCAAATTCCAAGAACCTTTCACTGGTTGGCACAACTGGTGGCTCAAGACATTTTCTAAAAGAAGAAAAAGGGTCTTGAAAAAAAACTAAACGAAGAAGAGAAAAGACAGAAAAACGAAGCTGAAGAGGTCGTCTACGTATGAAGATGATCTTCAATATCCAAGAGACTTCAAGGACACGTATGACATTATAATACTCGACTGACACTGACAACAGACCAACAGTTTCTGTCCACTTCAGCGACACGACACGCCGTGCGTATTGCATTGGTTCGCCTGGGGAGTGTTTCTTGAATAAACAAAGACATCATGTAGACTCATTTACGAAAAATCTGAGAGTTCAAGTCTAACTTAATGATTTCCTATATGAGTATTGCGTAAGGAAAGCAACAACAACAAAGCGGGCCGTACAAATCACTGTCAAAGACTCTAACATAGTCCAAGTCAACCGTATAGTTAATTAATTTATAATTTATGGGGAAAAATAGAATAGGCCAATCATTGGGTGCTATGCGATTTTAATACTCTGCCGACGCCAGTTCTATGAACTATTTGAGGCACGCTGATGACGCCCTTCCCCCTGTGCGGCCGTCAAGGAGACTAAGACAATGCCAACGTTCCAAATTATCAAACCAGCGAAATATCTCATTTTATGAAATTTGATGCTCCATTCGTCTCACGAAAAATATTACGTTTTTTAAAAATATTTTTCAGGAAGTAGGAAAATGACACAATTTTCCGATGTTCGATTGAAATCTAAAAAAGTTTCAAAAAATATTTTCCGTTGTTTGGTATGAAAAAGATTTTCTTTCTTGCACTACTTTTAATAATAATTTTATTTTTTAAAAATATATTTTTTTTTTTTTTCCTTCTTCTTCTTCTTCCTCAACCGGTCGCCGGCCACAGCGGCGGCCGGCGGCCGGCCAGCTCGAGCCATGCCACAGGCCGGCGAGGCTCAGACTCGCCTGATCCGGCGCGATCAACCTTGCCCAAGGCCTGTCGGGCGAGCTCGGGCCTCGCTAGATCCGGCGAGCTAGGCGAGGCTGGCAAGGCTCGCCTCACCCGAGGTCCCTAGACATCGGCGAGGCTCTAGCGACCTCAGGCGAGGCTCAAGCCTAGCCCAGCTAGCCGGATCTGGAGGGGCTCGAGCTCGGCCTCACCACAGGCCGACGAGGCTCAACCTCGCCGGAATCTAGCGAGCTCGAGCCTCGCCGGTCCTATGGCCGGTCGCCAGCCACTGCGGTGGCCGGTCGCCAGCCACTGCAGTGGCCGGCAACCAGCCGGAGAAAAAGATAGAAAAAAAAAGGAAAAAAAAAGAAAATTAAAATATTTAAAATGAATGGTGAAAGAAGGAGGGGGAAAATGTTTTCCTCTTTTCAAAAAGAGGAAAACATTTTCCTCAAAAGTGAAGGTGTTTTGTCCATTTTCTGAAAAATGTTTTCCGTGGGAAGTTATTTTTCGTGAAACGAACACCGAAAAATAAGAAAAACGTTTTTCTGAAAGTTATTTTTCGTGAAACGAACGGAACCTAAAGTTCTTTTCCAAGCCATCTTGCACCAGCGCACCATTTGGAAAAGAAGACCGCGATACATCGACGGAACCATAACGATGGACGAGCTTGCCCGTTCCCGAGGTCTTTAGAGATCTTTCGTGGGTATTGCTCGAACCGAACGTTTCGTAAGGAAACACATAGGATAGTCATGACTAAGGGCGATTATTTTCCGAACCTTTCATTAGCACGACACAACACTTAATCAAACAGCCAAAAGCATATAAAAGATCTACATGTTAAAACGACGACGGTTTATGAAAATCACAGAATCGGACAAATCCACTACACAGATTGCATAAGTTATGTAGTCTCGAATGGAGATCAGTCTCTCTTCTTAGCACGAATATACGGCTATACTACAGAAAAAGTTTCCGAATTGCCTCTTGACAATTGATATTCGTATACATAGTAGGGGAAAGCTATATGGATTGGGACAGGGATTTTAGGGGAAATGATCGCTTGATACGTCAAGCTCTTATTTGAACAAAAATTAAAAACCGCATACTTATCTTACGTCTAAAACTAGGAAATCGCGTAGTTAGCAGGCATAGGGAGCGCCCCAATTTAATAACTGTACCGGGGACGTAGAACGTTTAATATACAAAACTGGAGAAAGACAAACATCTCTCCAAGCGCAGCATATTCATAGTATGTCCTCAAATTTGGAGGTTGTACATGCCATGGGGAGCGACATTTCACACTAGGATCCTGAGAAGCAAAATCCTATATTGTTCGTGTTTAAGCCGATGCGAGAAATTACCATGCAGAGTCAGTTTTGACAATCAGACGATCTGATCAAGATATTGATCCACGGTGGTGTATTTGACATCGGGGTAGAGCTCTGAAGCTTCCACTCCGAATGATGGCTCAATCTCGACGCCGGTTTGGTCTCCTTTCACGAAAACGGAATGGGATATTGCCAACATCAAATTGAGTGGAAATGCCGCCTCTGCAACATGAGTGGACAAGTAGACCGGTCAACGTCAGAAGCTTTAAATCTCGGAGAGAAATCTAATAGCAACGCATCCCTGACCTTGAATGTTCTTCAGAACTTGCTCCTCTGGAACATAAACCCTCTCCAGGGTCTTGCCGATCTTTCTCTCCCACAAAGACACGAGATCATTAATCGAGTAGGTGTTGGCGGGAGGTTTGATGTACAGAGTTTTGTTCAAAGTCCTAGGATCATCCACAGCTTTGATGGTATAGGTGCCGATGTCATCCTCCTTGTTAAACACCGCTGCATATTGACAAATTCTTTTTTAAAATTTGGCTTAATAAATATAAACGGAGCCATTGATCAATTTGGCCTAGACGGGTGACTTTCGGCTCGCAATTTTAATTATTTTTTCAATTTTATCTTTTTTCTTTCTTCTCGGTAAGTCTCATCGGTCCTGGCAGACAAATGCATCCATATGTTCGCCTCGCCTCAACCACGGCGAACCTCGCCGTTGATCGGGCGAGGCTCAACCTCGCCATCGCGATAGATTGGACGGCGAGCTCGGGATAAGAAATCGAGCCCGCCGTTCGTCGCGACGGCGAGGCTCGACCTCTCGCCGAGCCTCGCCCTTTGGCGACTATGGATTTAAAGTCGGATAGGCCTCGCGCCGCCCTTGTTGCTGCCGACCGGCCGAGGAGAGAACCAGAAAATAAAAGAAGAAAAAAAAAAAAAATTAAAATTGAAAAAAATAATTAAAATTGCCACGTCAGCGTTGGGGATGAAGATGGACGGCGCACGTCAGCGCCGGCCGGCCAAAATTAGCCGGAAGGACTCAATTGACAAGCATTTAAAAGGTTTAGGACTGAATTGACAAACTTAAAAGGTTTAAGACTGAATTGGCCGTACAATAGGCTTAGACCGATTTGACAATTTTCCTCCACAGCTTTGATGGTATAGGTGCCGATGTCATCCTCCTTGTTAAACACCGCTGCATATTGACCAATTCTTTTTTAAAATTTGGCTTAATAAATATATCACGGAGCCATTGATCTTCCTAGAGTGACTTTCGGCTCGCATTTGAAGAAGAATTCTCTCGGTAAGTAGATTCATCAGGAAACTGGCAGACAAATGCATCCATATGTTCCTTTCTCAACCAAATACATTAAGATAACCTTCGTAATGTGGTGACCAGGCGGTATTGTGCCGAGATAACCCACATCTCTTTTATATCATCTATTAGTCTCCGAAAATGAAGACTACTGGATGTCAAAAACCCAACATCTCCAGAATTGCTTCTTACCTTTTGTATTTCCATCCCCTAAGATGACAACTTCATCTCTAGGGGGAGCTGTAGCCCCGGGCTGTGCCAATGTTAGAAGGAAGCAACCTGCAAAAGAGTTAAAAGACACATAGGTATAAGGGATTCCCTCATCCTCAACAAGGCGGCGGATCTTGGCCTTGATAGCAAACATAGCTTTTGCTGGCTCCACAGCATGGACACGATACGCATCATTTCCAAACTCTGAAGGCAAAAATCTCTAAAAAGAAACATAATGAAATCAGAAGAAACATCTTTATTAGAAAGAAACAGAAGACTAAAGCATATTCCCCTAACCCAACAAACTTTTATGAGTTCAGGCAGAAGAAAGAAACAAACTTATATGAGACTGACTTTCGTGTTTTTTCAATATGTTTCTATAACAGAGTAAAAGAACGATTATAAGTCCATCAATATATACTGCAATTAAGCAAATTCGACCCAAAGTGCCATTAGCAAAATAGAAGAAATAGGAGAGCAGCCAGAGAACTCTGTCAAGTATAAAGTATGCAAACATGCTGCTTGCTTGGACACTTTCTTAGGGAAAAGTGTCAAAAAAGTCATAAACCTTTTGTATTAGTGCCAATTTAGTCCTAAACCTTTTTTTTGGTGCCAATTCAGTCCTAAACCTTTTGCATTGGTGCCAATTGAGTCCTAAACCTTTTTTTGGTGCCAATTCAGTCCTAAACCTTTTGTATTTGTGTCAATTCAGTCCTAAACCTTTTGTATTTGTGACAATTGAATCCTAAACCTTTTTTTTATGCCAATTCAGTCCTAAACCTTTTGCAGTGGTGCCAATTCAGTTCTAAACCTTTTGTATTTGTGCCAATTCAGTCATTCCGATTAATTTAGCTCAAAAAGGTTTAGGACTGAATTGGCACAAATGCAATGGCACAAATGCAAAAGGTTGAGGATTGAATTGGCACCAATGCAAAAGGTTTAGGACTCAAGTGGCACCAAAAAAAGGTTTAGGACTCAAGTGGCACCAAAAAAAGGTTTAGCACTGAATTGGCACCAAAAAAAGGTTTATGACTCAATTGGCATAAATGCAAAAGGTTTAGGACTGAATTGGCACCAAAAAAAGGTTTATGACTGAATTGGCACCAATGCAAAAGGTTTAGGACTTTTTTTGACACTTTTGCCCACTTTTGCCCACTTTCTTAAGTAGTAAAATATCGGGTAAGTCCATTGCCTTTTGTGAGCATGCAGAGTTCCCCTCATTATTGACCGTCAGCCACCCAAAGCAACAACAACAACTAAGTACTATCCCCGTAAGTGGGGTTGCGTAAGATAATACATATTCGCAACAATGATAATACTACTGGAAAAAGACCATCTCAAGCATTAACTAGTTCATGTTTCCCACGAATTCATGATCGAAGAACTGGGCTAGACGTTTATAATCCATATCGAGCGCTCGAAACTTTTTAATTTTTTTGGCTGACCTAGAGGAAACCCAGCCACACGGATAATAAAGAAAAATCCTAGTTGGATTTTGATTCCTGTTTCCAGCTAAGGGCGGGTGGCATCTGGTGTTTGTGTACAGGGGATTCTTCAATTTGTCAAGGAAAGAACAAAGGAGTTCAGTCAGACATGGAAGCTCACTTCTTCGTTGCTGCAAGTGCACTTGGTCAGAAAAGAAAACTATTGCGGAACAACACCAAGAGATGCACAAATTGAAAAACTCAAATAGCAAGGATAAAAGCAAAATCGAACTACACGAGACACAAGATATACGTGGAAACCCAAAACGGGAAAAATCATGGGGAGAGAGAACGGTTTCACTATCTTCAACAACAAGTACAATCGAAAAGCTCAAAAAACCACTTGATGAGCCACAAGATCTAATGATCAAACAAGAAAATAGAAAGAACAAAGAAGGGAGAGAATGTGGAGGCTAGGGTTAGAGATGCGTTGCGCAAGACATCTCTTTTATAGTCCTCCTTCAAAAAACCCCTAAAATAAATATGCATGGTCCAAAATACCCATTATCAATTTGAAAGTCAAAACCCAACAAATCTCCACCTTGACTTCAAATTTTCGGAAGAGCGATATATCAAATGCCACAAGACATCTCTCCCTCACCACCAAAAGTGACCACACAAGGCCACCCCAAAATAGCGGAATTGACGATGTACACCCCTAAGCCTACGTGAGCGTACTCGGTGTAAGAAACAAGGGATGAAACGCCACCAACTCCGCTTAGGCAACTCAAATGATGAAAACATCAATTAAGTTCAAGCAATGCTTGAACTTTGTCAAAAGAACTGGTTTGGTCAACATATCTCCGGGTTATCGCGGGTACTTTCTACCGTACTCCTTAGCAACCTCATCACGCACAAAGTGGGTATGTTTCTTTCTCTGTGATATATTTTCTTGGTCAACTGGATCTACTTGGTTATCGAAAAGATAAATAACCAAACGCTTTAATCAAATAGCTTCCTTTAGCAACCTCATCACGCACAAAGTGATACCGGATGTCGACATCAAAGATCTCCTTTGTCGAGATCATAGTCATCTTCGAAACCAACAACCGAATGTCCTGTATCACAACTTCTATCAAAGACCAAACCATAATGTGCTCATGTTCATTTCACGGCTTGCCAATGAGCACCGGATGTGCCATATACCTCACAACACTAATAACTTGGGAAATATGTCATCAAATCATAGCATACATAAGACTACCCACAAATAAAATAAAGAACTCGAGTCATGTAATCTCCTTTCATTGGTTTAGGCGAGAAAGAACGACACTAAAATGATCATGCGCACTGCGTGAGTGGCCATGACTTAACATAAAGCTATCAAACCTCTTGTACCATTACCGTGGAGATTGTTTGAGACCATACAAAGAGCGTTTCAACCTGCAAATGTGATCTTTTTACCCTCAACAAAAAAAACCAGCGGGTTGAGACATATATATTGTCTCCTCAAGCTCGCCATGCAGAAAAACGGTCTTGACATCAAGTTGCTCAAGTTAAAGAGCCACCAACGCAAGCAACACACGGATGGAATTATGTTTCACAACCGGAGAGAACACTTCATTGAAGTCGATCCCCTCCTTCTGACTAAAACCCTTCGCTACCAAACGTGCCTTGAATCTTTCATCTTCAACAACCGGAATTCCGTCCTTTCTTTTGAAGATCCACTTGCATCCAACCGCTGTTTTGCCCTTAGGCAATTTCACAAGATCCCAAGTTTGGTTCTTATGAAGAGACTCAATTTCTTCATTCATCGCAACAAGCCACTTCTCAGATTTAGAACAAATGGTAGCTTCATGAAATGTAGAAGGTTCTTCAATACTAAGCTCTTCAGTAACTGTAAGAGCATATGCTACCAAATCAGCAAAGTCATATCTTTGGGGAGGCTTAACTTCTTCAACAGTCAAGGTCTCCCTGCAGCCAAGGTCTGAGGTTGCTTAACTTCTTCAATATCATCTTTGACCGAATCTGAGTCTTGTTGCTCACTATTACTTTCCGACTGAATAGGAATATCTTCAAATGTTCTTCGTGGATGCTCCACGATAAGCTCCACCTCTTTCCCAACATTTTCCTCCTGAATACCTATAAACTCAATAACAACCTTTCTTTGACTAAGCATGGAATTTTCATCAAAAGTAACATCCCTACTGATTATAAACTTTGGTGACTGAGGATCAGAACACCATAACCTATATCCCTTAACCCCGTCTGCATAACCAACGAAAATACATTTCTTGGCTCTAGGTTCAAGCTTACCATCTTTTACATGATAATAAGCGGGACATCCAAAAACTTTCAAATTAGAATAATCGGAAGGTTTACCTGACCATACTTCATTTGGAGTCTTACATTCAATTGCGGTTGAAGGAGAACGATTCACCAAATAACACGTTGTGTTCACGACTTCGGCCCAGAATTCTTTCCCTAGTCCAACATTGGAGAGCATACACCTAGCTCTCCCTAAAAGTGTCCTGTTCATGCGCTCCGCCACCCCATTTTGTTGAAGTGTGTGCCTAACTATTTGGTGTCGGACTATCCCTAAATCTTCACAGTACTTGTTGAAATCACCTTCGCAAAACTCAAGACCATTGTCTGTTCTGAGACGCTTTATCTTCTTTCCAGTTTGATTTTCAATCAACATCTTCCACTTCTTGAACGTATCAAAAACATCATTCTTACGTTTCAAGAAATAAACCCAGACTTTCCTAGAAAAGTCATCAATAAATGTCAGAAGATAAACTGCACCACCTTTAGATGTAACTTGTGCAGGTACCCACAAATCAAAGTGAATATAGTCAACCGTGCCCTTCGTCGAGTGCACTCCAGTACTGAAACTAACTCTGCGCTGCTTCCCGAAAACACAATGTTCACAAAAGTCAAGTGAGACCGTATGATCCCCACAAAGTAAACCACATTTACTCAAGATACTTATTCCTCTTTCACTCATGTGGCCCAACCACATATGCCACAACATTGGATTCTGAAGAGGATGATACATTTGAAGAACCCACAATGGTACTTCCCTGCAGGACATAAAGACTATTTTTCTTGTTACCTCTCATCACAATCAAGGAGCCCTTTGAAATTTTCAAAACTCTACCTCCACCTGCGTACATGCATCCAGTGGAATCCAAACTGCTCCACGAAATAAGGTTCTTCTTCAAATCTGGTATGTGCCTAATGCCTGTCAAAGTTCTTACTATATTGTCATGACATTTGATCCGCACCGTACCAATACCCACAATCCTGCAAACTGCATTATTGCCCATCAAAACTGAACCACCATTTACTTTCTCATATGTGTAGAACCAATCTCTATTTGGATACATGTGATATGAAAATGCTGAATCTAAAATCCATTTGTTGTCAACACGACAATCTGAAGACGAAACAGTAAGAACATTGTCTACATCAGCTGACTCGTTATCCTTCACCAGACTAGCTGAATCGGAACTTTCCATCGACTTCTTCCCCTTAGCCTTGAGCAAAGGACACTCATTTTTGTAGTGTCCGAATTTGTGACAATAGTAACACTCCACCTTACTCTTGTCTCGGCCTGATCTAGACTTCGAACGTTCTTTACTATTACTGCGCTTATCACGATGATTCGACCTTCCCCTAACAACTAAGCCTTCTGCTTTATCACCACTACCACTTGCATTCAACTTTGTACGCATCTCCGCAGAATTCAACGAGGCCTTCACATCTTCAAGAGTGATAGATTCCCTCCCATACAGCATAGAATTCACAAAATTCTCATACGAGCTCGGTAGTGAGCATAACACAATTAGGGCTTGGTCTTCATCATCTAATTTCAAATCTAGATTTTTCATATTCATCACAATCTTATTAAATTCATCTAGATGTTCTTGGATAGGAGTACATTCTTGCATCTTTAGCGTGTAAAAACGCTGCTTCAAGAATAATCTTGTTGTAAGAGATTTCTTCATGTAGAGGCTCTCGAGCTTATTCCACAATCCTGAAGCCGTTTCTTCATCGGCGACCTCATGAAGCACCTTGTCGGACAGAGAATTGGATAGTGCTATGCGCCCTCTCTTCCATCTCCTCGATCTCAGCCGTAGTCATGTCGTCGGGGTACTGTCCATCCAAGGCTCTAACTGAACCTTCGCGACGCAATAATGCCTTCATCTTGATCCTCCATAACCTGAAATTGTTTTGGCCATCAAAGGGTGCCAATTCGAACTTGATAGATGCCATCTCGAACAAAAGACCGAAATTCCTTGGCTCTGATACCAATTTGTCGTGGAACAACACCAAGAGATGCACAAATCGAAAAGCTCAAATAGCAAGGATGAAAGCAAAATCGAACTACACAAGACACAAGATATACGAGGAAACCCAAAACGGGAAAAACCACGGGGAGAAAGAGGGGTTTCACTATCTTCAACAACGAGTACAATTGAAAAGCTCAAAAAATCACTTGGTGAGCCACAAGATCTAATTATCAAATAAGAAGATAGAAAGAACAAAGAAGGGAGAGAATGTAGAGGCTAGGGTTAGAGATGCGTTGCGCAAGACATCTCTTTTATAGTCCCCCTTCAAAAAACTCCTAAAATAAATGTCCGTGGTCCAAAATATCTTTGTCATCAATTTTAAAGTCAAAACCCAACAAAAACCTTAGAAACGGAAAGTCAATTGTGGACTTGTCGCCGATTGGGTTAGAGCAAGAAGAGAAATCAAATTCTACTTTGCGCTGGACAAGTTTGCAGGACGCTTTCCTTAATCCTTTCTCCTTCTCGTACATTTGTCCCCCTTATATTTCCAAAGTTTCTATTTTTCGTTTGGTTCCAAGGCTCTTTATACGAGAAGAAAAAAGAATTAAGCTAACACCAACCAACATCATCAGCCAAATGCTAAACGAACAATAGTAACGAGGACGGAATCATTGGGAACAGCACCACCTTGACATTCCCGGCTGCTTTAATGGCGGCAACAATCTTGTCTTGGTCCTCTAGTTGTTCTGTCCCGACAGCAGAGACCACCACATCGACCTGCTTGATTGCATTCAGCAGACTCTCTCGATCGTACATGTCTCCCTGAGAATCAAGTGACCAAGAGCATCGATAAGCAATCAAATATCCAAATATCAACTCCGATTCTACAGCTGAAGACATTTCTCAGAATGACGAACAAGATCAGCGGCAGGTGACCAGACGTGGGAAGCGAACGCAATCGTACGGGAAGAACTACTCACCTCGACTAGATTGAAGCCTAAGCTCTTGAAACCTTCGACGATTTTGGCCTTGGCGGGGCTGGAGAGAGTGGATTCCCTCGCGAGAGCAAAGGTAGGGTGACCGGACTTAGCGCTCGCTTCCACGATGAACTTTCCGATGTATCCGGTGCCTCCGATCACCAGGACTCTGCTCTTCTCGGCCATCTCGGAGGCTTTTCACGGCGGAGGCGTGGTGTTTCCCGGCGAGCTTGCTCGGTCTCGTGCAGAAACTGCTTGGCGGGCTTGGAGACGAATCGTCGTTTTATCTTTGATTTCCAGGAGGGGCATAATTGTCTTTTCAGCGAATTGATTTTTCTTCATATCATCCTGCACTTGGAAAATGAGTACCTGCAAAGTGGAACAAGAAAAAACAGAGGAAAAATCAAATTCAAGGTAGACTTTTCTATCGATTTTGTCTATTTTGACCGATGATGTGAATTGTTTTTTAAAATAATAAGAAAATCTTAATTTAAGTTTGGATGGTGCTAAGGATTTAAGTTATCGTAAATTTTGAAGTGTTCGAAATTTTATTAAATCTTACGTTAGGATTTTATTTCTCGATCGATATTGAACCGTTTATAATTTACAATGATTTTCCATGTAATTGAGAAGGAAGAAGTTGAAACTGCTTTTACCATCATATGAAAAAAAAGAAAGTAAAAATAGCATGAAAAAGCAATGAGCTACTCTACATGCATATGCTTGCATGATATCATGGAGTTTCATAGTAGCTATATGATTGTTTTGACTTTTGAGGTGCACCAAATTCTTTATCCGAGAGAGGATTGATCATGCGATTATTATATTTTCAATTCATAAGTTCTTGAAAAAAAAAGAAGAAAAGAAATTAACCTTGTTAGATTGATTCAATGACGAAAGACTGAGTTAGGCATGTAGGCTTTGTCTGTTTCGTAGAAAATAAATAGTTTGAAAAATATTTTTGTAAAAACGATCGCTTATATCGAATTAACTAGCAATAGAAATTTCACCGTGCATTAAAACATTAGCAATTTAAGTTTACCCTTAATTAACGGGCAACAGAAATTTCATCTTTGCCGACTTTAAAAAAATAATCCGCCAAGTTAAACCTCAAGTTTCAATTATGAAGAGATTTTCGAGGACATATAAAGTATTTGATTTCGGAAAAGACCTTGCACGCATTAGAGCATATACGAATTAGGACCTTGCAAGTTAACCCTGTGGATTTCCACATGAATTTGCCACGTCACCATACCACGTCATCATGTGTCATCCACGTTGACAAATTTAACTGTAAAATTTTACCGAAGCTAAAGAATGGTAAATTTGTCACAGGTGTACCAGTTTGGAATTTTTCGTGATAAAAAAATTAAATTGGAGTAAATTTGTCACAGATGTACCAGTTTGGAGTTTTCGTGGTGGAAAAATAAGTTTTGAGTAAATTTGTCACAAATGTACTAGTTTGAGGTTTGTCGTGGTATTAACCCAATTTTCAAATGCGCATCAACTGTGGTCTGGTTTTATTAGCTGCGCTATGAACGTAAAAAAGGGAAAATTATACTTTCCACCCCTGTACTTTTACTGCTTCTCTAATCAAGTCCCTGTATTTTCAATTTTTCTAATTAAGTCTTCTATGGATTGCGGATTCAATTACGTTTAACCCAAATATGGGACATGGCAGCCCATAAACCCAAAACAACTCCAAAAACAGAATTAACTTCTCCAAGCACAGCACAGCACAGATGAGCACATATTCAGTATTCACAGTATGTCCTCATATCTGGAGGTTGTACATGCCATGGGATGATCAACGGGAGCAACATTTCAAACTAGGATCTTGACAAGCAGGATCCTATATTATTCACCGTTCACGCCGATGTGAAAAATTACCGAGCGCGGTCGGATTCGACAATCAGACTTTAACCGATCCATAGTGGTGTATTTGACAACGGGGTAGAGCTCCGAAGCTTCCACTCCGAACGATGGCTTGATCTTGAAGTTGGCTTGGTCTCCTTTCACGAAAACAGAATGGAATATGGCCAATGCTATATCGAGTGGAGCCGCCGCCTCTACAATATGACAGGACAAGTAGACCGATCGAAGGTTGAAGATAGAATAAATTTCGCGTGCTTAAATCTAATAGAAATGCATCCCTAACCTTGAATTGTTATGTTGGTGTTTGTTTGTAAAACAAACAAAAAATGCTATTTCCTAGTCCCACGTAGAAAAGAAAGGAAAGTTTTGGTCTATTTATAAGTTAAGGTATTATCCTTTATTATAAATGGAGAAAATGGGTGAATGTGCTAGACCCCACAATACCTGTGTGCGGGTGCGCGATTTTAACGCACGTATTATGCGTACTTAGCACGCATGCGCACCGTGGACCAAAATAAGCCTTAATGATTAATCAACAACTTATTTTTATTTTATTTATTTTTTATTTATTAAATTTCGAATTTATTATTATAAATAATTATTTTGTTCTATTGAAGCAATGTAACTGTTCGCAATAGAGTGGCGGTTATTTTTTAATAATTTAATTTCGAATTTTTATTTTATGCCTAACTATAATTAGGCTCTTTTACAACCTTTGGAAAGTTGTGTCTGTTCAGACAAAACTGTCCATTTTAGGGCACAAAAAGGTATGTCCAAAATTGACAGTTTTCATGTTTGAAAAGTTGTGTCCGAATTGCAACTTTTCGGATATGAACGGTTGTGTTCGAATGGCGGTTTTCGCACGCAAAGGGTTATGTTCGAATTGCAACTTTTCGGACATGAATAGGTGTGTCTGTATTGGTAGTTAGACACCAAGAGGTGTGTTCTATTTGCTTGTATATATTGGACAATTCTGTTCAATTGACAGAAGAATAGAACTCCCTTCATTTTCGTCTTCTTTAAGAGAAAAAACTAGACGGCCACTTTCTCAATTGTTTCGCAGAGAGTTTTAGGAGATTTACTGAAATTGCTATCCAATATTCTCACTGTGACTTTATTATATCCCGAAGGAAATTTGCCAATAACTTATAGCAACTTCGTGAGGTAAATTGATCCTAAAAGAGAGTGATTACACGCCTCAAAGTCCGACTACGTTCCGATTCTATTTCCTACGAACATATTTTCCCAACATGTTCTTCAGAACCTGCTCCTCTGGAACCCACTCCCTCTCCAGGGTCTTGCCCATCGTCCTCTCCCACATCTCCAGACAAAGTGGGTTGCCTGGAGTTCTCAAGCTTCAGGAACTGCCCCTCGCGCCGATCGCTACCGTAATTAAGTAGTGAAAGTTGTAGAGAAAAAATCTCAATGAATCGCTTCTCCCCTTTTGCATTACCATCCCCCAAGATGACAACTTCATCTCTAGGAGGAGCTGTAGCCCCGGGCTGTGCCAATGTTGGAAGGAAGGAACCAACCTGCAAAAAGAGTTGGAAGACACATAGGTATAAGGGATTCCCTCGGCCTCGACAAGGCGGCGGATCCCGGCCTTGATGGCGAAGCATAGCTTTTGCTGGCTCCACGGCACGGGCACGGTCCTCATCACCTCCAAGCTCCGAAGGCAAGAATCTCTAAAAAGAGAAGAATAATCAAATCAGAAGAAACATCTTTGTTAAAAAGCAACAGGCAAAGGACCAAAGCACATTCCCCTTGTCCAACAAACCTCCATGAGTTCTGGCAAGAGAAAGAAAACAATCTGATGAGAGACTGAATTTCATGTCTTTTTTCAAATACGTTACTATTACAGAGTAACAAAGAAAATGATTACAAGTCAATCAATAAATTCAGCAATTAAAAGTCAAATTCGACCCCCGAGTGCCATTAGCAAAATAGAAGAAATAGGACAGCAGCCAGATAACTCTGTCAAGTATAAAATCTGCAAACAAAGAAAATCAAACGGTTTAAAATTTGAATGTTAGAGGAATAGAGAGTTAACTTTTTAATTTTCCATGAATTTTGAGGGGCTCGTATTTTGACTTTTATATAATATGATACACTTGAAACTTTCCCAAGTATTCAAATATTTGTCGCGTAGAACCATATACGCGAGTTCGGAACTTAATATAATTTTTTATTTTTAAATGTTTTAGAGAAAGTCATAACTGGAAGTGATAAATAGGCAAAAACTGGCTCCAAGCTGGATTTTTCTAAGTGAAATGTTGTTAACCACGTAGACAAGCTAGCTACCAATTTATGATAGGTAAAAAGTTGCTCTTTTTTAATTGAAACTTACGAATCGCTCAGGCTCGGTCTATACTCGCTTTCCCAAAGTTAAAAAGTGTACAAACCAGGATGAAAATTAATTAGGTTAAGGAGTTGCCAAGCAAATCAACACGAACAAGTTACTTGACACTTTTGACCCAAAAAAAAATTGCCAATATGTCCAAAGTTATGAACCACTTTGAGGGACTCGAGTTCTCCATCCCAATTTGGCTGGCTTCGGGGTAATGCCTCTGGGTACAACACCTAATACACAGGCTCCGTTTGCTTCGCGAAATATGAATGATTTGAAGAATATTTTTCTAAAAGTAATAGATTGTATCACTTAAAATAATTAGTCAAAGGAAAGTATTTTTATTATCGCTAATAATTTATATCCAAATATCTTCGTGGACGATGAAAATATTTTTCCTTCATTCAATTTGTAAGAGATATAAGCGATTATTATTAGAAAAATAATTTTCTAATCATTCATCTTTCGCGAAACAAACGGAGTCACGGTTTCATTATTTCCGGACTCCACAAGTACAACAAATGTTGAAATAACTTCCTCACCATCTCAGGACGATGAGCTTTTAACTTATTCACCTTGCGCAAGTAACAGCAGGTCAAGCAAAAGACGCATTCCACCTGAAAGTTCTAGGTCACGATCAGTTTGGTAATGCATTGCACTTCGGAAGTTTGTACCAGGTCCGCTACGCCGAGATGCGCCATTAGAAGCCAAACATGGCTGAGAAGCTCTCCTCCTCTGCTCAGGCTCTCGGAGTGTTCGTAGCCTTTGCTTTGGCAGGCCGCGTATATCAGAAACTTCGCCCAGACCTTGCCGATCAAGCCCCATTTAGTGCTGAAGTCATTCGGCCCGATGGAATTCAACTGGAACGCGAGATAGCACGCGTCGAACAGCACCGACCTGCTTTTGCCGCCGCGTATTTTCTTAGCGGGCAGCTTAGTTCCCACTCGGAGCAGAAGATGGCAGAGTTTGCATAGATCGGACGACTCTGTCGACTTGTGCTCCTTTTCGCAGCTATGAACACCAGTGTCGACGCGTTTCTCTTTCTTGAATAATTTCTGTGCCCGCTTCATGATGCTGGTTTCTTTCTTTGACGACACCGCTAGCTTGTCCTCAAAGAACTTCTCAGCGTCGACCAAAGTATCTTCATATCGGAGCGCCCCTATCCCCGTTGGCAACATGGAAGGATGGAGTACTAAAAGATAGAGCATGTATCGAGAGATCAACTTACTCATCTTGAAGTTCGTGACGTCTTCCGCTTTTTGGCCCTGCCTATTGCCATGGTCCTTGTAGTGGCAGAGCTCAGTGGCTATGTGCCAGATGAGGATGCTCTGGTCGAACTCCATATCTTTCACACTCCAGTTCAGGTGATCGTGGTTTGACCGCTTCAGTACTACGCTAGCCTCCAGCTTAAGACTCGTCAACCCGCTCTTGAATCTGTCGTTCTGTTCCAGATAATTGACTGTATCCCTCGTGTGACTTAAGATCCATTCTTTCATGTTGCTCTTGAAATCTTTGTAGCCGATGTAGAAGTTCTTCACCAACTTATTGTCTAACTTGGCGAACCTCCGATACTTGCTGAAGATCCTGTTTCTTTTCCTGATAGATAATCCCAAGAGGCTGAACTGGGCCACCGAATTCGACCATCTTGGGTTCGGGCAGATCTGGAGAAAAGCCACGGCAGATGAAATTGTGGATCTCCCAGGTCTCTGAAGCCGCCAGTGCCCAACCCAATCGGATGAAATTGCAAGAAGAACCGAGTAAATCTCTAAAAGTATAGACACACTTATCAGCAAGAAGGTGATACAGATGTCAACTTTGGGGTAATCCTTCCTATCCTGTAAGGAGAAGAATACCAACACGGCAGACGGCACCGACAGATTAATGACCCAACGAATGATGCCCCAAGCACGATTCAGCAACAGTGCCTTGGTGTAGAGCAGATCGTACATGAAACCAAGCTCGATCTCCACAATCCCAAAAGCCGTCACCGAGTTCATTGCATCAGGGTTCATGAACATGCGCTTACTGGCCTCCAGGTCGCCAGAGTTGAGGATAAGGCCCACAAAGAGAAGCTTGAAGACCTTGAACAACTCATAGGCTTTGACCAGAGTCGTGGCTTGCTCTTCATCGCTGGCTTGACTGCATTGCACTGAGAAATCCTCCGGAGCCGGAACCTCCGTGACCTCGTCAATGCCAACTCGGTAACCCTCCTCTTTCTTCAGAGTGTACTGCTCCATTATCCTGGGGTATATGGGACCAAAATCGGGAAGCGAAAGCATCGAATCTCGAAGTCGACCTTCGCTTGCCAAGTACAAACACAATGTCCTCTCTGCATATTTGATGAACCCCACCAGGATCATGCCAGCCGCTAATATCGACAGTGTAGACCCCGACAAGGCCATGAAGTAGATGTAACAAGCTAGCCCTACCTGGATGCAAAGCCGTGCCAAATGCCTCAACCATAGCTCATTGTCCTCCAGGGCATACGCAGTGATTGTGTCGGGCCCACCCAAGTGGAGGAGAAGGAACGGCGCCCAGAAAGCAGTGATCTGGCTCGGCGGATCGATCGTCCCCTTCATTTCCTTGATGTTGGCCAGGCGGTTCGAGAGGACGCCAAGCGTGAGGGTCGCGATGGAGTCAGCCGATAGGTACGTCGTCCAGACCACGACTCGGATCCAGTACCTGTAGATGGATTTCCTCCGGAAGCCCTGAGTCACAAGGGTCAATTGGAGGAACAAGCTGAGGAGGATGAGCAACCGCAGCTCCCACTCCTTCCACAGTTCTCGAGTGTTTTGGGAAAGCAGCGAAAATCCCATGGTTGAACTCGATGTCGGCACCGAAAGGCGCAATGATCGGGCAACGTCTCAAAGGGTGGTCAAACTTAGGATCATAATTGGAGAGGACAGAGCAAGGCAAAACAGCAATAGGCTTGAATTTGCCTCAGCAACATCCTCAGAAAGGTCACTATTTATAACCAATAACTTGATATAGGAATCAAATACAAAAGCACTTATTTACCCAAAGCAGTATGCTTTTCGAAACACCCACGACACAATACTCGTGACTCCACTTTTGGATGCATAATTGCCAAGCAATTCTCTGCATTTGCCTGAGGGGGAAGTAAAGCTACAAAATCAGGTTCATGCATCCGTACCGGCATGAACATAATCTGCTTTAATTGAGAAGATATAGATATAGGCCTAGAGTTAAAGTTTGGTTTCTCAATCACTTCTCAAGATTTCGAATATTGTGAACTTCACTCTAATCACTGTGATCTTAACACTTTGTCTGGCACGCCCCACCAGCCCAACGTGATCCATGTGGAATATCGAAATCACCTGTTTGGCCATAACAAGAAGTAAAGACACGCAAAAAGGCCAAAAAGAGAGTGATAGATGCTTAAACAGCCCAACGTGATCCATGCGGAATATCGAAGTCACCTGTTTGGCTATAACAAGAAGTAAAGACAAGCAAAAAGGCCAAAAAGAGAGTGATAAATGCTCACTCCAAGTTAAAGCGATTCCGATGCATTGAGTTGATTGCTTCGATTCCCAGACAGCATATTTTTGTCCCTGGAAATTAAGAAATTCAACCCCAAGTGCTTTTAGAATAAAGAAGAAAAGAAAAGTGAAGATTTAAAATGTTAGGGCAACAGCCAGATGATTCTGTCAAGTATATAATATGCATACATGTTGCTTGCTTCGACACTTTCACAAGTAATAAGACATCAGGTAAGTCCAATGCCTTTTGTGAGCATGCTTAAATCCACTCATTATTGACCATCAACTACCCAAAGCAACGACAGCTACTAAGTACTGTTCCGGCAAGTGGGGTTGAGTTGCAACAATGATAATACCACTGGAAAAAGACCATTTCAAAGATCGACTAGTTCATGTTTCCCACGAATTCATGATCGAAGGGCTGGGCTAGACATCCATAATCCATATTGAGTGCTCAAAACTTCTTACATTTTTGGCTGACCTAGAGGAATCCCGATCACACAGGTTCTGGATAAATAAAGCCTCCTAGTCCTGGAGTATGTGGGCAGCCCAATATCAATACAAGGGTCAAGACAGGGGAGGGCGCGAGTTTGAGGTCAAAGATCCTTTGTGTGTGTGCGCGCGCGCGCGTGTAAATCCCTGAGTAATACATAACGCATATTTATGAGTTCATGTAGATGGTACACATCGTCCATCCATGATGACAGAATTCCCTACCCAGTTGAATACGTCAAAAAGCAATAGTAGGGATTCAGAGCAGCCCGCTTAGAAGCCCACACTGTCCTATACTTGGATTTGAAATAGTTATCCTCGAATTTCACTGATGATTTCTACACAAAGTCGTGACCACAAGAAGTTGAAGTCCACAGATAAATAAGTGAATCCATCCCATTTCATCAAAGCGAAGCTCACAAGGAGAACGTGATGCGCTTGTACCAGAAGAAAAAGAAGTAAGCTAACACCAACCTACATCATCAGCCAAATGCAAACAAGGACGACGTTATTCGAAACAGCATCACCTCGACATTCCCGGCTGCTTCAATGGCAGCAACAATCTTGCCTTGGTCCTCTAGTTGTTCTGTCCCAACAGCAGAGATTACCACATCATCAACCTGCTTAATCGCATTCGAATGACCGAGACCATCGACAAGCAATCAATGAAGTCAGCAATCATCGAAAAATCCTGTTTTTGGCAGTGGGAAGACTGAGGAAACGAGAAAATGCAGAGGAGCCTTTCAATACCTTTATCAGACGAGGAAACAATACAATATTACGGGGCATAAAAACAAGAAGCCGCTGTCCACAGAGTTCTCGTCCACACATTGCCTTCCGATCTTCAAAAGGTTACAACGATGAATCTTAACATGGCATCTGAACAACACAGGTCAGTCGTATTCGCTTCTACACAAGGAATTCATCCACACAGTACGTCAGGTATGGAAGTTCGTATCGGCATGCGAAGCTGAGGGCGATTGAGATGAAAATCAACTTCGATTCATCATTCCGCTACAGACATTTCTCAGAACGGCGAACGAGATTGACGGCATGTGACGCTTCGATTTCCTCGAACCAGGACCTGGCGTGGGAAACGAACATGATCGCGCGGTAATCACGTGAAAAAAATTTGATGACTATGCTCTTGGGACCTTCGGCGATGTCGGCCATGGCGGGATCGGAGAGAGCGGGACTCCCTCACGAGAGGGAAGGGAGGGTGACCGGAGTTAGCGCTCGCTTTGACTATGAACTTTCCGAGGTATCCAGCGCCTCCGATCACCGGGACTTTGCTCTTCTCGGACATCGGAGGGTTCTTCCCGGCGAACTTGCTCGGTCCCGTGCTGTAACTGCTCCCGGGAGATGGGGGGCAGGGAGGGGGTTCGAGATGAATCGTCATTTTTATATTGATTTCAGAAGGGCATAACTGTCTTTTATAGGAATCGGTTTTTACTTGACTTCGCCCATTAGCCGGAAAAGAAGTACATGGAAAGTGGAAAAATGAACCACTTAACCCCATAGCCCCACCTTCTTACTTGGGAAGACGGAAGCGGGGGAGCTCGTGGTAAGGACGTATAGTTTCAGATGTGAATTTTGACTTCTACGCCCTATAAGAGATAGAGCAAAAATCTGAAAGTAAGTTGAGAGTCAGAGTAGGACTGACAAAAAAAAAAAAGAAAACAGAAGAAAATCAAATATAAAGTACTTCGATAAAAAATAATTCTGTCTAGTTTGAGAGATGATTTATATTCTTGTGAAATAAGAAAATTTAACTCACCGAAAATAAGAAAATCTATATTTAAGTTTGGACGGTGCTAAAGATTTAAGTAATTGTAATTTTGAAAGGTTAGAGATTCTATTTAATTTTAATATTATGATTTTAATTCTCTATTGATATTAGATTATCATGACTCATAATGATTTTTCATGTAAATATTAATAAGGAAGAAGTTGAAACCATTTTAATCATCGTATGTAAAGATAAGTGAAAATGGTACGAAAGGGCAATGAGCTATTCGACGTGCATGCACTTGCACGGATGTCATGACGTTTCATGGTCATTAAATGATTGTTTTGAGGGCGCTCAATCCTTTCCAAAGGAGGGCCGATCACGAGATTACTATTTTTAATTTGACCAACGCAAGATCTTTATGTTTTCAAATTCATAAGTTCTTGAAGAAAAGGAGACCTACCTTGTTAGATTGATTCCGTGATTTTTTTTGGGTAGGAAATTGATTCCATGATTAAAGAGTGAGTTGGATGCAAATACATTAAGCACATAATAAGATAGTCTCTTTACCATTAAATGGAAAAGATTTTATGCTTAGATCATCCATTTGAAATTGCATTTTTACTTAATTTGTGAAGTTAACACGGTATTACGTCGAGTCGTTTAGGAAAAGGACAACGACGGGCTTCTCGAGTTTCAATTATGAGGAGATCTTCGAGGACATATAAAGTGTATGATTTCAGAAAAATATTGCACAAGTTTGAAGTATACATGATTGAGGACCTTGCAAAGTGACAAATAGCGGGCGTATTTTCAAAATGAGCATCAACTCTAGTCTCCTTTTACATGCTCCGCTTCGAGAATGAGAAAGGAAAAACTATACTTTTCACCCCTATACTTTGACCGCTTTTCTAATCAGGTCCCTCTACTTTTAATTTGTCTAATCAAGTCTTCTGCTAGACTGTGAGTTGAGAAACCCTCCGTCTTTTTTTTATTTATTTATAAGCTAGCCCCTAAACCCAAAACAACTCCCAATCAGAAGTAACTTCTCCAAGCACAGCACAGATGAGCACAGACCAAGTATTCAGAGTATGTCCTTATATCTGAAGGTCGTACACTGCCATGAGATGATCAGTGGGAGCGACGTTTCCCACTAGGATCCTAAGAAGCAGATTACTATACTATGTATGATTGCAAGCTGATGTGAGAAATCAAATCACGAAGCACAGTCAGTTTCGGCAATCAGACAAACTGATCAAGGTACTCAGCCACGGTGGTGTATTTGACATCGGGGTAGAGCTCCGAAGCTTCCACTCCGAACCACGGCTCAATCTCGAAGTTAGTTTGGTCTCCTTTCACAAAAATAGAATGGAGCATGGCCAATTCCAGATACTTTGGAGATTCCGCACCTGCAGTATGAGCAGACAAGTAGACCGATCGACGTCAAAAGGTTTAAATCTCGAGAGAATAGAGAAAATCTAACAGTAACGCATCTGTGACCTTGAATTTTCTTCAGAACTTGCTCCTCAGGAATATAAACCCTCTCCAGGGTCTTGCCGATCTTTCTCTCCCACAAAGACACGAGATCATTCATCGAGGAGGTGTTGGCAGGAGGTCTGATGAACAGAATTTTGTTCAAGGTCCTTGGATCATCCATGGCTTTGATGGTATAGGTGCCGATGTCATCCTCCCTGTTAAACACCACTGTATATTGACAGGGAGAATTTTAGAATTTGGCTTATAAACATATCGCAGAACCTTTGATCTTCCTAGAGTTACTTTCAGCTCACATTTAAAGAACTCTCTCAATAAATAGATTCATCAGAGACAAATGCATCCATACATTCTTTTCTCGACCAGATACATAAAGATA